CTTCTTCTTTTTTATTTAACTTCGACGTTCATCATATTTAACACACGCATTGTTCTTTTTCACAAATCAATTAGAACGACTTTTTTTTACTTGTTCCTGGTTTACTTATTGTATTTTGTTTTCTTCTGTTCCGTTCCGTTTTAATTTACGTCAATTTTGCAAGCTCGAGATTCGGCTGGATATACACACACACACACACACACTCACACTCTCTCTCTCTCTCATTTTTGTATCTCCTCGTTCTATTCAGTTTTTTTTTTCTTTTTTTTTTTTCTTTTTTTTGTAATTTTTATTTTTATTTATTTATTTATTTTTTTTTTTTTTTTGTATGATGGAACGCGCGGTTACGTTACTCAACGTAAAAAAAGAAACAGAAAAAGAAAATAGGGGCGAAGGGGGGGGGAAGAAGGAAAAAAGAAAACAAAGAAACAAGCTCGAGCGAACATTGTTAAAGGGGGGGAAGTGGAGGAGGCGGAGTGGAGAGGGAAGGGAGGGAGGTGGAGGAAGAGGATTTAATAGATCGAATGAGCACAAAATGAGGAGGGGGAGGGTGCAGAAGAGAAAAAAGGAGAGAAAAAAGAAAAGAAAAAGAAAAAAAGAAGTTCGCAGAAATGCAAAAGAGCGTGTCGTGTGTCCCTTTTTTTTTGTTTTTTTTTTGTTTCGTTTTTTGCCTTGTCTTTGTCCTTTTTTTTTTTTGAGTGCTCGAACGAAATCATTCAAATTACAATGATCATTATATTCAACGAGGAATTGTTAAAAGGAGAAAATCTTTTCAAAGAATCTATAATAAGATCTATTGCATCTAACACGTGTCTCGCATTATTACACCAACCACAATGAGAAGAGAAAGTCTTTGCTTTCTTGAATTTGCAATTATAAATGAACGTAACCGCACGTTGAAATTTTTCTTTTTTTTCTTTTTTTTTTTTTTTTCCTTTCTTTCTTTTCCTCCGCGCACCACTTAGCACCGCATACACGCGCGCGCGCGCGCGCACACACTCTCACTCTCTTTATCTATCTCTCTTTATCTCTATCTATCTCTCACATTTCAAAACTGCGTCGGATTTTTTTTACACACACACACACACTCTCTCTCTCTCTCTCGCACTCTCTCGCTCTCTCTTTCGGTATAATCGCTGCAAAGGTTATTTGAAATCCCAATCACGAATTGACGACTACTTATAAATTGTTACACAAAATCAAACATATTTGATAACGCTACGAGGACTCAACACACGGGTTATTTCTCTTTTTCTCTTTTCTTTGCTTTTTCTTTTTTTTGGCTTTTTTTTCCTTTTCTTTTCTTTCCTTTTTTTTTTCTTATTTTTTTTTTGTTTTTTTTTTTGTTTTTTTTTTCTTTTTTTTTTTAAACAAACAACTAACGAACAAATAAGGCGAGGAATGATACTCTGGAGGGGGGGACGCAATACGGACACCTCGCTCGTGGTGTGTGCATGTGTGTTTTTTCTTTTTTTTTTTTTAAGTTGTTATCATCAATAAAATGTATGAATGATATATACATTTTTAATATTTTAAAGACACTCTCTCTCTCTCTCTCTCTCTCTCTCTCTCTCTCTCTCTATCTATCTATCTCTCTCTCTTTCTCTTTCTCGAAGGACGATTATTCTCGTTGGATCTCTTCCGTTGGCTAATATACGAAAAACAAAGGATTACTTTAACGCCGATTATTAAAAAATTAACTTGGTTTTTGATAAGATAGACAAAAATAAAAATAAAAACAAAAACAAAAAAAAAGAAAAAAAAAAAAAAATCAAATGACGTTGCCGAGCCGCAGAGACAACACACCTCGGTTAGCCATTTTTGAAAAGAAAATCATATATTTTATTTTCTGATTCTGTACTACAAACTAAAATTTTAAAAAGATCTCACATGCAAAGTTGTATAAATTTTCTTCTTTTTTTTTTTTCTTTCTTTCTTTCTTTCTTTCTTTTTCTTCTTTTCTTCTTTCGCTTGCTTTTTCTCTCTCTCTCCCTCTCTCTCTTTTTTCTTTTTCTCTCTTTCCTTCTTTCTCTATTCCTCTCTCTCTTTCTCTCTCTCTCTCTCTCTCTCTTTTGCTCTCTCTCTCTCTCTCACTCCATTGACAAGTCGTAGCAAGTATTATGCATCGCATTGTCAATCGAGTTTATTAAAATGTACGGCTATTTCGGCGTTCATATTCATCGATTTCGTGCGTGTATAACAACACACAAACACATACACGATCAATAAATTTGATTTAGAATGATCTCACGCGATAATGATAACTGGCTGATGATGTTTTTTTCGTTAACCTCGGATCAATCTGAACGTCAAAATACCGTACATTATTATTGGGATTGTCTCACGGATTTATAATTATTAACATATAATAATGTCCAATTAATAGTTATCAATAATGAGTACACGCTTTATGTCTACCAATGTCTAAACCCGCCAGGGGATGACATTATTATTATTGCTACTATCAATTGTTAAAAAAAAAAAAAAAAAAAAAAAAGAAAAACATTTTTAATATAAGCGGCATTACAGTAATCGTGTCTCATGATGATGATGAGCCGCGTGTACTTGAGTATTCTTTATATATATATATTCATATATATATATATGTATATATATATATATAAAAATAAAAATAAAAAAAAAAAATAAAAAAAAAAATTTTGGATATTTATTATGTCCAAATGTTTTACGGCATTCCAAGTGACAAATTGTACATTATATTTGTTTTATCACATTGCGCGCGCGCGCGCGCGCGCTCCTTTGACGGCTCCTTTGCGTATAAATATATCAGGGTTAAAAAAAAAAAAAAAGGATAAATCAATTCAATTAAATGCCAACTTTCACAACGGATTTCTCACGTACGAAAAGACGAACGATTTGTAAGTTGTTTTTACTCGCTATTTAAGATTTCAATTATGTTGTTCTTTTTCCTTTTTTCTTTTTTTTTTTTTTTTTTTTTTTAAATCATTAAGATTATTGCGTCATCGGGCTTCGTGTACACCTACGACCATTTTTTTTTCTTTTTTTTTTTTACAAACATCAGGAAGAGAAATGGGAAAAATCTCAGCAAACTCAAAAAAAAAAAAAATAAAAGATATTGTACAAGAAACGTTTCAATGAGTTTCGTGAGAAAAACCGAAGAAAATTAAAAAAAAGAAGAGGAAAAAAAAAAAAAAGAACGTGTTAAATAACGAATACAAAAACTAGAACAAAAATCAACCCTCTTTTTATTGCAGACAAATCAGTCGCTTTTTCATCTTTCTATCTCTTTCTATTTTTTTTTTTTTACTTATTTGTTTATTCAATTATTTTATTATTTTTTTTTTTTCTTTTCTTTCTTTCTTCCTTTCTTTTCCTTTTATACATCGTATACGCCTGCGTCTTTTTTCTCATTTCATTTATTTTATTTTATTTTATTTTATTTTTTTTTTTCCTTCCAATTGGTCGCGGCGTTAAATCAATGATTTCGCAAAGAATTCCTTTTATCATTTTCATTTTTATCACAATTGTATGATCTTATTCTTATAAAATCACGGGAAAGGGGGAGGGGGGGGCATTCAAACTTCAACACACAATTCGTTCATCTTCTCGATATCGTCTCGTCCTATTTTTCGATATACCTTTTCAAAAACAATAACACCAGCAAAGGTTTTTTTTTTCTTTGTCCACACCACGAAGTAGATAACGATATTGCTTATTATTATAAAGTAATTCTTTAACCTGAGTTTATAATCCGAACCTTGAGTTGAGTCTCAAACACAGTAGATAAACTGTGCGGTAGTAAAAAGATATAACACAAAAAAAAAAAAAAAAAAAAAAAAAAGAAAAAAAAAATAATAATAATAATAATGTAAGTGGTTATCTAAGATGAAGAATTTCCATTGGGACACTCACGTTAATTCCGGCCTTTCGCTACACATTTTCTTTCGTCAAAAGCTTGTTTTTTTTTGTTTTTTTTTTTGTTTTTTTTTTCTTTTTTTTGTAGGGAGGGCAGGGGGCCGTTCTTATTAGCCGTTACATACCTCAATTTGCTTTTCGTAGGGAGAGTGTGGAGTCGTGTTTTCTGATTTCTTTTCTTTTTTTTGTATTTTTTTTTTTGGTTTTTTTGGTTTTTTGTTTTTTTAATATTTGTTATGTTATTTGTTGTTCCTGTTGCTTTTATTGCTGCTGTTTCTTGTATTGCTGCTGCTGCTGCCGCTGCGGCTGCTGCTGCTGCTGCTGCTGCTGCTGCTGCTTAACTGCTTTTCTGCTGATGTTATTATGCTGTTGCTTCAGTGTATAACGGGTGTTGGTGTTACTTATTAAAAGGAGTGTTTTGTTGTGGTGATAGCATTTTAATCTTTCTTAAGCGGTGCTCTCGGTGGTGGTGTTCTGCACCGGTTGACTCTCCTGCAAAAGAAAAACAATATATGTAATATATTGAAATCCTCATTTTCTGCGTGCCTATATGCACACAGGTATATACACATACGCCGGCAACTAAAACAAAGCAATGATATGTAATATAATAATATTTATTAATATAAACGACAGAAAAGCACGAATGAAAACGAGATGGCCGTTAATCTGAAAAAAAAAAAATTCATAAGCAAAGATGTAAGTACAAAGAAAGAAAGAAAGAAAGAAAGAAAGAAAGAAAGAAAGAAAGAAAAAAAGAGACAAAAAAGGTGAGGGAAAAAAAACAGGAGGAATTCTAGATGCTACAAGATGCGAGAGATAGTGAGAGAAAGAGAAAGAGAAAGAGAAAGAAAGAGAGAGAGAGAGAGAGAGAGAGAAAGAGAGAGAGAGAGAGAGAGAGAGAAAAAGAGAAAGAGAGAAAGGGAGAGTGAAAGAGAGAGAGATCGATGTTCTAAAGGAATTCTAAATGCGGTATATAATACTAAAAAAAAAAAAAAAACTACAGCAGAGAAATTGCAACACTGGCAGAAAAAAGGAAAGCCACGTTACCTGTGGAGCAGGGGCAGCGGCAGGTGCATCCTTATCTTTAGGTGCATCCAACTTCTGCTCCGACTGAAAAGAGTATAAAACAAGATACGTGCAATAGTGTGTGCGAAGCGCTACGCCGTTTCACAAAGGATTCATCGACGAACCGTACACTTACTAGTCTCTACGATCGATTAAACTATTGTCGAAAGTAATTCATTACAAGATGAAGAAAAAGAAAAAAAGAGAAAAAAAATGAGAGAGAGAGAGAGAGAGAGAGAAAAAAACATGAAGAAAAGAAAAAAACAAAGAAAGAAAGATAAAGAAAGAAGTAAAGAAAGAAAGAGTGGGGGGAAAATAATTAACCATCACTTTCTTTGCTAATTGTGACCGCCGCCGACCTGTAAGTGAAATTCGTCGATAAGAAAACATTTGTGTACTTTGCGTATATAAGATACAGAGAGAGAGAAAGAGAGAGAGAGACAGAGAGAGAGAGAGAGAGAGAGAGAGAAAGAGAGAGGACTAGCAATTGAGTAGAAAGTGATAAATGCAAAAACCCCAGGCTTAGCTTTCATAATAAAACGAAAGCTATCAACTATTACATATGTTCTAAACTATACATTTCGTTCTTTCATAGCAATTAAATATCATCAATCTAATTTAATAATTCTCATTAATATTATATATCAAATTCTTTTTAACTATATAGCGTATCAGTTTGGTTACAAAGTGAAATGAAATTTTATTGATTAAGAAATGTAAAAAAAAAAAAAAAAGAAAATCGCTCACTTGGGAGGAGGGGGAGGGAGGGTTGAATAGATATTATAAAAAATAAGCCCTCTCCTACTCCTCCTCCTCCTCCTCCCCAACGTTGCACCAACTTTCTTGGCTTTTATTATATACGGATTATCTAATATATCCAAGCAATAAAAATATGTTATCAAATTGATGATAATGCTATATTATATATATATATATCTATATCTATAAAAATCTATGACACTCGCGGATAAATACTTTGATGTGCTTATCGGAAACTTCAGGAAGTGTCTTGTTGGTATTCTGTGTCTGGGAAAGAGGAGTGGCAGGATGAATTTTGTTAGCAGCAGGAGGTCGTAGATTCTCTTTATTTGCTGTCTGCTGGCAACTACTTAATCGGGATTGCCTTGGTACTCGTCGTCTATATCGAGGTCGTGGAAGTCTTTGTATACCACCACCTATTTGTCCACCCTCGCCGGCACCAACTTCATCATCAGTAACCTAACAAGTTGACAATTGATCTACCCATACCAATAATAATTTTTCTCAACTATTGCTGATCTATTTTTTGAGATTAGATAAATGATGATCGTAAAGAAAGATATAGGATCAGGTAGGACATAGGAATAAATGCAATTGTACTTGGTAAGTACTAGTGTAACATCGTATTATCATCATCAATTGGTCAAACAATATAAATGACCGTACACATAAGTGAAAACGTTCCTTCGACGTCGCTCATTTTTCGTGGCATCGTCTTAACCTTAAGTTTATTCTATATAATTCAAATAAATATATATATATATATATACACACACACACATATATATATGTATATATATATATATATATTACTTTCTGTGCCGTTTCCAACAAATGTACAAGTAAAAAATATGTGAACGCTAATATTCGTAAATCTATTACTAATATCTACACATAAAATCAAGTGATGGTGCTTCATTCGTGTATTTGAGACATTTAAAGGATCGACCGATCGAACCGATCATCGATCTTATGGATAACATTAAGATGATAACTAAGAGGAAAAAAAAAAAAAAAAAGAAAAAAAGAAAAAAAAAAAAGAAAAAAAGAAAATAGAAAAAAAAATGAAAGAAAGAAATTAAACGATAGTAAAATATCTACGAATCCGTTACCTGACCATCCTGGTTTCTTGGACGTCTTGGTGGTCCGGCGCCTCTTCCTCCGCGGAAATTTCGACGGAAGAAGCGTCTTGGTGGGCCTCCACGACCACGTCCACCACCGCGTGGTGCACCTCCTTCTCCGGTGCCCTTACCTCCTTGCTCACCACCTTCTCCAGCGTTCTCACCTTGCTGTTGATTAGGTCCGGAATGTCGAGTAACCGGGTTATAGTAACCTTCGTAATTACGTCGTGGTCTATAACGACGTTGTTGGCCCCCACCATCACCGGGGATACCTTCCTCGCCAGTTTTGCCATCGACTAAGTAAATAAGAAAAAAAAAAAAAAACATTTCTTTCTTTGTTCTTTTTATTTTTTTTCTCTTTCTTTTTCTAAAATCAAAAAATTCTCCATGTAAATGGAGAATATGCTATAAATATCGTCGAACTGTTATTCCTCTATACTAACCGGACTCATATCCTTCTTGTCCTTCTCGCGGTCTACGCTGTGATCGAACATTTCCACGTCTAGGATATATCCAGTGACAACCACGATATCCCCTTCGCTTGTCTGCGGCATATGGTGAACCTTTAACCGCTTCTCCTGATGGCCCGGTCACATTGGCTGCTTCATGACCTTTCTCGCCGATTACTACGTCAAATTCGACGACCTCGCCGTCGCCAACGCTGCGCACGGCCTTCCTCGGGTTATTCTTAATAATGGCCGACTATAAGAGACAACGCGACATTTGAATTATTTATATTGACATGTTTGAAATGAAAGTAAAAAAAAAAAAAAAGAAAAAAAAATTAAAAAATTGAATATTGTCGAACGAATACATACTTGATGGACAAACACATCCTCCTTGGTGTCATTTCTGGAAAAAGAAAAAAAAAGAAGAAGAGAAAAATATGTTAAACAAACAAATTACATTAGAAATTCTTTTTATCAATAAAACACATATATCTTAATTATTATAAATAAATAAATAAATAAATATATATATATATATATGTGTGTAAAATTTGGATTGCAATTAAAATATATGTATCTCAAACTTTTAGATGTCGTAGACTTAAAAAAAAAAAAAAAGAATGAGAAACTTTAATAGCAATACAATCGATATAAGATAGTTTTTATAAGGAAACAAATTTATTAAACATTTTTCATTTCTACGTAATTGATATACAAACAATTATCTGGGATATAAGTTATTCCGTACAACTTTGTATGATCAAAAAGATTTTAAACAAAGGGAGGAGGGAACAAAACTGACATAAATATTGAACGTTTCAACGAAATGAGAAAATTAGCGTCAAATATTACTTAATAAAAGTATATAGATCCTAATAGTAATAGATCGCTATAGTGCAATATATACAGTGCAGATTATTGTGAGCTCATCAAGTGATATAGACGTGAAACGTGCGTTGTACAAACATACGCGAATCCATTCGTAAACTCTGAGATAGAGAGAAAGAGAAAGAGAAAGAGAGAGAGAGAGAGAGAAGAGAGAGAGAGAGAGAGAGAGAGAGAGAGAGAGAGAGAGAGTGAGTGAGAGAGAGAGAGAGAGAGAGAGAGAGAGAGAGAGAGAGAGAAGAGATAATCGAAGCCAGTGAAGCTGCTGAGTAAAGCACGGATCTGAAAGGTCATCGAACCCTAGAACTCGGTTGAAGAGAAGAGGAGGAGGAGGAGGAAGAGGAGGAGGAGGAGGAGGAGGAGGGAAACGTTCGTCTCACATACGGAACACAAGCTACCCCTCTATCCCTCCCACCCATCCCTTAGAAATCCCTTCTCCCGAGTATCACCGGTACACGATCTATTCGTATCGCTCGCATTTCCGCATAATCCTTATTTTCATGTTAATTCGGTTAATGTGGTGCACTTTAGAATTACTATAAAAGCCAACGTATGTATGTATGTATGTATGTATGTATGTATGTATCTTGTCATTACGTTACATATCGTATTAAGTAATCAAATGATTCATTAAGTTCTCTTATAGAAATATATTTTACAAATTTTACATTCTAAACTATATATATATATATATATATACATATATACATATGGTTAGTTGTATGCACAAACGTACTATATATAAACATACATATGTGCGCATTTGCAAATGTATGCATATTTCTCTTCGTCCAATCGAGAAGCAAACCATGTTTCCTTTAAGATAATTATATTCAAGGCACGTGAGTCACACTTATATGCAAGGTCACACACATACTACACACACACATACCATCATCATTACTACCACTACAAAACGACGTTCTTAATTGTTAAGAATGTATATATATATATATATATATATATATATATATATACGTAGTATGTATATATCATAAAATGGCTTCCGTTGGCTCATCTAATTTGTAACTTAAAACTAAGGTTTCATAGTTAGCACCGTAATCTTTTTTCAACGACGTCGAATTTCTTATTCGACAGAGAGAAAAAAAAGGAAGAGAATAGAAAAGGAGGAAAAAAAAAAGAGAAAAAACAAAAAGTGAAAAAAAAAGGAAAAGGAAAAAAAGAATAAAAATAATGAAAAAATTGTGAAAAATTTTAATGGAAAAAGATTAACTGCTCTTTTCGTTATTGTCGTTGTTATTGATTTGTTATTGTCTTGTGTGTAGTTTTTGTGTCTCCGTAGTAATTGTAATTGTTGTTGTTGTCGCTGTAGTAATTTTAATTGTCGTTGTTCTAATTGATAATGTTTGTTACTAAATCGTGCTTTGGCTACGATTAAACGGTAAAATCGGAATAATATCTAAGGCTAAGGTGAATTTCTCGGGGCAACGACGAATTTCTTGGCTTAAAGCCAAACAGATAGATAGAGACCTAGAAATAGCGGAGGACCGTCGACGAGCTCGATGCGGTTAAGGCATCTATGTACTTACTACACGTATATATGTACACGAGTAAGAAAGAGGAAGAGAAAGAGAAAGAGAAAGAGAAAGAGAAAGAGAGAGAGAGAGAGAGAGAGAGAGAGAGAGAGAGAGAGAGAAAGAGAGAACGCGCGCGCACGTGTTGTTGTGTGTGTGTCGTAAAGGAGCTTCTATTTCATCTACTACATAGTCGTCGAGAGCTTTAGTCTCTAGAATGCATCATTTAACTTGCATCGAACTAATAATACCGACTAATATCCTACTATCTATCTTTTTTTTTTTG